ATTCTAATTGCATTTTAAAGTAATATCCTTTTTATTGTATTATTTACACAAAACATCAAACACCAAAATTTAAGCATTTTTTACTTAAAGCTAACTTAGTGTTTACATCCCAAACTCTTTTTTTCCTCTTCAAGTCTCGCTAGTCCTCAGCCTTTGTTTTTCCCTGTTGGTACAGTGTTGATTCCATCACGCAATGAACACCTTATATATAACACACTACCTAAACCATAGCGCCTCTCATTCACAATATCTGTTATCTTCAGAGGTATCTATCTTTAAATGACAGACAATAGACCCCTCTAACAGTGTATCAACCAAAAGTCCCAGTTCCACAATTCTTTTGCCATTCGTCCAATTTATCTCTGTCATGTTGTCCTCGTTCTTCTCCACATTTTCATCACTGATGAAAATGAGGTACATGTACATGCTGGTGGTTCTTCCACATTGCTAAGCATTTCTTTATGGAATCTACCCTTTTAAAATGATCACGCTCGCTTCACGTTTACCTCAGTAATACTTTACTGATTTCACACAGCCTAAACCATAGCACCTCTCATTCACAATATCTGTTTTTTTCAGAGGTATCTTGAAATGACAGACAATGGACCCCTCTAACAGTGTATCAACCAGAAATCCCAGTTCCACAATTCTTCTGCCATTCCTCCAACTTATCTCTGTCGTAGTGTCCTCGTTCTTATTCACATCTTCATCACTGATGAAAATGAGGTACATGTACATGCTGGTGGTTCCTTCACATGTCTTATCATTTCTTTTTGGAATCTATCCGATGAAAATGGCCGCATTCGCTTCACGTTTACCTCAGTAACATACATTTTACTAATTTCACAGTCTAGAGAGCTCTAAACGAGAGACTACGCTCAACTAGGGGCAGATTACTCTAAATGGTCGTTTCTTTTTTCCTAGCAAGTCAAAATCAGATGTTTGATTCTAAATGCTGACTTAGGAAAGAATGCCCCTTGACCAAGCAGAACTAACATGGCTGCAGCATTGTCAGTGTAAGTTTAATGAACTGACCATGCTGCATGAGCTATGTAATACGTAAAAGGTTTTTATCACGTCTCAGAATTTTTTGATATGACAAAGTTTATATGCTATTTAAATCATATATTTAAAAATCTTTGCTAGAAAATTAACATTTTTGATGTTTCAGCGATTCAAAGTTTAATTTTCTCAATATGCATATTTTGATCGCCGATAATACGCGCTATTGCTCTGACGTCATAGGTGTCAATCCTGGTCAAGCGAAGTACTTAGTGTGTATAGAAAAGGGCTCATTTGCTGTGTCTATTAAACCTGTTAGAAAATAATTGATAATTGAATAATTGACAGCTTGTAAGGTATAATTTATGGCTTTATGGTGCACAAATGTGCACAAGAAAGGTTTTAGTAAGAATTTTTACTCCACATTTTTTATGGACTTGATCGAGAGATGAAAGGGGGGCCTTTCTCTGCAAATGCGATGGCGTTTATCTCCATTCAGAACAACAGTTTTTGCCCGATCGATCACGATTTTTTTTTTCCTGTCCTATAAAATATTTTAAGGAAAGATACTTTAAAAAAAAATAATAAATGACAAACACACATTTTATATAAGTCGCACAGAATCTAGTAAGAATGTTGTGAACTTCGTAATGGCGTACGGCGCCATTGAAGAAAAGTCATTTCTAGTACATGATATTCACTCCTAGAACAGATAGAAGATATACAGGATTTATTTAATTATAATTAATTACAAAAATAATGGAGAATTAAAAATTCCCATATTTATAAATGTTTACGAAGTTAAACTTTAGTAATTCGTTCTATTTAGTTGAAGTCCCGAGTTGTCAACGGCTTCGTCTTCGGTGACCTCTCTCCAACTGTCGGCATATTTTCTGGTTTTCTCTCTCCGCTAGACGTTCATACCTAAAAGATTGACCGAATATAGTCGATGTCAAAATTTCAACCGGCGATACTGTGCATTCTATTTATTTAGCGTAAAAATCTATTCAATATATTTTTTCTTACGATAAGGTTTACGAGTTCTATTGACCATTGACACCTATGACGTTTCAGTACCACGTGACCCTATCTAATTAGTGGAGATTTTTACTTCGAGGACCCTATATCGTCTAATTACGGCCGTTTTCAAAATTATTTCATAATAAAACGATAATTATATGTTGCAATAATATAATAGTGTTTCATTTTTAAGAAATTTAGATACGTGATAAAAACTCTTTAATGAAGTAATTTTCTGGGTATAATGGGTGTTAAAAAGGTTGAAATTCCCATCTTTTTGGGGTACTTGACCTAACGGTGAAATCTGGAGTGTTGGGAAAGGCGGGTGCTTAAAAGGACCACTTGTTCGTTGAAAATCAAACTCCTTTTAATGAACAATTTCAAGATGCTGGTCGGTATTTTTAAGATTCTTGGCTCGTCTGAGTCGTCTAGAGCCATTGCTGTGTAATTCAAAATCATATTGGAACCCATTTTAAAAAAATCTTTCTGTTTGAATGAGACCACCTTTAAAATAATGTTTGTTTGCCCTTTCCCGACTCAGGATGAAAAAAATTGAGTCGGTACGTAGGTATGAAATTTTTTTTTCTAAAAAAAAATTCAATTTCAATGCTAAATTAAAAAAAAAAAAATTGTCCAGAATACATAGAAAAAATAATTGCTTCCTGGAGGTTAAAAAAAAAGATTTAAGTCGGACCATTTTTAGCCAGTCGGTCGGAAAAGTGCAACCATTTTTCAGAGATGGCCCGAGTTTTAATTTTTTTTTTAAGTCAAGTTTCTTTGATTTGTGTATTGTCCAATGTGCATAAAGAGGTGTTGGAGCTTTGTTTGCTTGTTTAATGTCCCTCTCGAGAATTTGTCACTCAGATGGAGACGCCACCACTTGCCGGTGTAAAGCTGCAAACTTTGACCTGCTAGACAGAACTACGTAGTAAATTGACCGTTGTTTTTTTGCAGTTGATTGCTGGATGTGTCCCATGGCACAATTTGCAGGTGTGTCTGAACCTACAACGTTGGGTAGACTTAACATTTTTAGGTTACCCGAGTTTACTCAGCATATGAACTAAGTACATTGTTGGCATATGAACTATAAGTACATGGATATGATGAGGATGGGTGCCTGTTCCAAAGTTGTGAAGGATGTGGCCCCAGGGTCAGGATTTTCGTGTTGGGGGGGGGGGCTCTAATCATATTATAGTGAAAATGCATTAATTCTTTGAAAATTTCTCCTCTGTCCCTCGGTATTAAGTTTATGAACTAAGTACATAGTTATAATGAGGAAGAGTTCCTCTTCCAAAATTGTGAAAAATGTCCCACCTGGGTCAGAGGTTCCGGGGGAGGGGCTTATTTATTGTATACTGAAAATGAATTAATGCTTTGATAATCTCCTCTGCCCCTTGGTATTAAGCAACCTAAATGCGTAGTTATGATGAGCAATGGTGCCTCTTCGAAAATTGTGAATTTCATGGCCTGGGTCAGGGAGTCTGGTGTTTGGGCGGGGCTCTGTTGATCATGTAGCAAAAATGCACTTATACTCTGAACATCTTCTTCTCTTCCCCCGAGTATTAATCAAACAGACTAAACGCAATGATATAAATGTAAGTAAATGTGCATTTTCTCTACTCCTGGGTATCTAATAGGCAAACAGAGTACAAATTCTGTGAAAAAGTTGGGAATTTCAATTACCTACGATTATATTTAACTGTTTTGAATTTGATTATTGATGGTAAAAACTTCAAGGAGATAAGTAGAGCGCTCCGTGATGGGGAGGTCGTGAGTTCGAATCTCGGCCGCGACAGACCTAAGTCGATAAAAATAGGTAGCAACTGTCCCTTCGCCATGCGCTCGGCACTATGAAGTGAAAGTTGCGGGTCCTTCGGATGAGACCTTAAACACCGAGGCCCCGTGTCACGGCAGGCGTTGGCACGATAAAGATCCCTCACTGCTCAATGGCCCTGAGTGCCGAGTAAAGGTCAAAATTTGAAGCCCTTCCCCGGTATATGGTGACATCTCTATATGAGTGAAAAATTCTCGAATGGGACGTAAAACAATATACAATCAATCAATCAAGGAGATAAAACATCTAAAATAACTTTTACAAAAAATAAAGGCAACTGCATTTTAACATGTTGGTTTTACAGTCGTTAAAAATTTGAATTTGAAGTGTATTTTGTCATGACAGCGAGACAATAACTTCGAAATGGATTATATAAACTCTCAGTTTTTATAAAATTTATGCATAAATGATTTACAAGACTTGTTTTGGTAGACTTGTTAAAGAATCCAGTATATCGCATATCGCTTTATAAAATATCGTATTGAATCGTATCGAATTTTTTTGCTCAATACACAACCCTCAATCTAATTAAAATTAGATGCTCCGAATCCGCTACCCTTTCTCAAGCATTACCAACATTCCATACGGATCACGTCAGAAGACCTTTTCATTAGCCAATTAAATCGCTCTTTCCGAAGTCTAGCCTGGTAGTTCTGAGGTATTTTACCTTTTCCCCTTCTAATGTAAAAGCCCGAGGAATTAATAATATCAGAAGTGGGGCAAAATGGCGTATACACCGAGGAAAACATGTGTATTGGGTGATGTATGTATTGTTTGCGGGTAGCAATAACAATTCTCAAGGAACTGTTTCAGTCACACAGTCATCTAGTATTTTTCCTTCTTTGAATCTAGTTTCTCGGAATGCAACATGTCACAAAATGATACACAATCTGGCACTTCTGAAATGAAATAAATGCAATTTGGGCACATCCCGAATACTGGTACAGTATACAATTGTTCTGGAAAAAGAGTCTAATCCATCAATCATCCAGGCTATTCCTAAATCTACAGCACTCTCAATTTTTTTTCACAAGTTTTATGTTTGGTTTGTCACGTGACAGTCTAATTTCAGTTGTGTCTTCCTTCAAATTCAAGACTTTGCGGTCTGTTCATGAAATTTTATGGGTGCAAGTTGCACTCAGTGCTAACACTGATGCAGATGGGAAAATGGAACTAGTTCCCCTAAGTAGCTGAACCATTTCCCAAATGCATCCATGTCATCGTCATCCTTTTTGCCCCTAAAACATGTAAAAACATAAGGAATAAAATTTATATGTTTTTTTTGGGGGGGGGGGATTGTAAACAGATTTTACTTAATATCATTATGCACTCTGTCCTTCATAGTTACAATAATGAGAAGGGCCAAGCCACCTTTATCTGGTATCTTTAGTGACAACTCTACATGTAATTGAAAGCTTGGAATGTGTAAAAACAAGCTAATTCAGAGAATTTGTGTCCCCCGCTAAGGGAAAAAAGGGTTATGCGCAGTTCGTATAGAATATACATGTATACTAGCACAGTTCATTCAGATTATTCAAGTTCTATAGTGAACAAGCTATAATTAATCCTGACAGAGATATAAAACACTTTAACATCTTTGCTGGCTATTCTTTGATATTCAATTTTACTCAATTCAACAATTTTAATGACTAATTAAGGCCCTCAAAAGGACAAAAAGAAAGTTATGTAGTGATAAGTTGTAATAGGAAGTGGTTGTATAATATAACTATTACTCTGTCGAAGCACAAAATTTGCTGTTACATCTTACCTACTCTACATATTCACTATCCATATTCATATGTATTAAAAGAATGTTATATTACCTCTGTATATCGCCCAAATGTTTAACATTTTGGAAAGCCTTTCTTCTTGGTCTTTCATAAGGGCAATCAAGGGTCCGCATACGATGTTTTTCCGAGCCTCTTTTCCCATCGCTCTCTTTTTGGGAATGACCATTTGATACGGCAAACACGTGCTATAGCCTGGTGGTGATACGGCCAAACAGTCCTTGCCGTCTAGAATGCATTTAAGTATCTCTTCTTGCTCTTTTTTCAGTTTATTTACATTGAACATCTTCAGAACTTCTTCGGACGCCATGTTGCAAGCTTCAACCGAGACGTCTAGAAACTCGAAACTGATTGGCTAATTCTGAAATGTTTATTCACATCTGAAAGGTCGTTCTGACGTGACCCCGTAAGGGATGTTGTTAGATGTTTGAGAAGCGGTAGCGGGTTCGGAACATCTTATTTTAAGTAGATTGCACAGCCCTAGTACCAATTTATTATCAATTTTAAGTCAAGTTCTTTAAAAAATGACTATTTGGCTTTACCTGTTCTCTTGTCTAGAACTTTCGGTAAGCTAAATTCAGGGTACTCAGATACAATTTTTGTCGATGAAGGATCAGTGTGCGGCATATCTGTCAGGTCTGTCACTTTTGCGCGAACAAGTAGTCGATATCAATCTGTGAGCAAATAGATTCTTGTTAAAACGGCAGGCAAGTCAGTAGAATAAACTTTTATTTTTAAAGTATTATATGTAATAACAGAGAAAGAAGAGTAAACGCTTCCCGACCGTTTCACATGCGAGAACATCTCCGGCTGACGTGACGTCAGAATGACGTAGTGATGCTGCTCCAGTATCGACATATGCATAGTTATAATTTCACCGGAACTTGTATAATTAACCTATAAATTAGAAATTTTGCACATTTGTTTTATTCGTTCTTTATAAAAGGTTGACGAATTTTCATAAACTTATCTATTTTTTATGGTGTAAAGATAAAAGTCTCAATAATTTCCGAACAGCCCTCGTAGTTTATGAATTCATAAATGTTTGGACCTCTATCGTTTCCCATCTGTATATGTAACTGACGCATGCGCATACCTATTTGGAGTTTTTGGTCAGTAAATGAGATGTTTACTGTTGAACACCTGTCTTAACCCCAATGTGTCCTCTTTTTAGGACATCCGAGTCACTCAGGTGACCTATTGCTATCCGTTTTTGTCCGTCGTCGTCCGTTAACATTTAATTTCAGCTTCTTCTCTGAAACCACTCAACCAATTTCAACCAATTTTGGCATATAGCATCTATGGGTGAAGGGGGACAACAATTTTGAATTTCATGGTCCCTGGGGCCTGAGGGGTGGGGCTAAAGGCACCAAAATTAATGCAATCGTTAAAAATCTTCTTTACTCCTGGACATCAAGCATTCAAACTGTTGGCATTATGGTAATAAGCATTGAGCCCTCTGCCATAATTGTGAAATTCATAGCCCCAGGGTCAGGGGTTCTGGTGCTAGGGTGGGGCTATGTAGATCATTTAGTGAAAGTGCATTATTTCTTTGAAAATCTTCTTCTCTGTTCCTGAGTATTAGATAAACTCACTAAGTACATAGTTATGTTGAGCAAAACTGCCTCTTCCAAAATTGTGAATATCATGGCCCCTGGGTCAGGGGTAATGGTGTTAGGGCGGGGCTCTATTGATTATATAGTGAAAATGCATTAATTCTTTGAAATCGTCTTCTCGGCTCCTGGGTATTAAATAAACTAAGTACATAGTGATGATGAACAAGAGTGCCTTTTTCAAAATTGTGAATTCCATGGCCCCAGGGTCAGGGGCTCTGGTGTTAGGACGGGGTTCTATTGATTATATAGTGAAAATGCATTAAATGTTTGAAAATCTTCTTCTCTGCTCCTGGGTATTAAATAAACTAAGTACATAGTTATGATGAGCATGGCTGCCTCTTCGAAAATTGTGAATTTCATGGTCCCTGGGTCAGGGATTCTAGTGTTAGGGCAGGGCTCCATTGATTATATAGTGAAAACACATTAAATCTTTGAATATCTTCCTCTCTGCTGCTCCTGGGTATTAAATAAACAAGTACATAGTTATGATGAGCAAGAGTGCCTCTTCAGAAATTGTGAATTTCATGGCCCGAGGATCAGGGGTTCTAGTGTTAGGGTGGGGCTCTATTCATAATGAAGTGAAAATGCATCAATTCTTTGAAAATCTTCTTCACTGCTCTTGGCTATTATTTAAACAAAGGAAGTGCATGGTTATGATAAGCAAGAATACCTCTTCCAAAATTGTGAAATTCATGTCCCCAGGGTCAGGGGTTCTGGTGAAAGGGGGGAGACTCTATTGATTATATAGTGAAAATTCATATTTTCTTTCAAAGTATTTTTTCTACTTCTGGTTATAAAGCAAAGAAGCAAGTTTATACTTATGATGAGCAGGGTTCTGTTGTGTCTATGAGAGGGGGGGGGGGGAGCTCTATTGATAATATAGTGAAAATGGGTGAATTCTTTGAAAATCTTCAACTACATGTTATTGCATAGTTATTATGATGAGGGTATTCCTCCAAATTTGTAATTTCATGACCCTGGTCATGGGTTGTGGTGTTAGGGTAGGGCTGTGTTAAATAGTGAAAATACATTATTTCTTTGAAGATCTTCTCTGCTCCTGGGTACATTGGAGGCAAACAGAGTAGAAAGGTTTAATAAGCAAGGGTACTTTTACCAGAATTTTGAATATCTGGACCATTTTGTCAAGTGTTCTGCTCCTGGTCAAGGCTCTATTAATTTGTATTCTACTGAGTGAAGTTATTTCCCTTTGCCACTCACCTTTGATAATTAATCACTGTAGATAAAGTATTCGAAAGGAAAATAGAATAAGAAAAGTATGCAAGAACATTTATTGTATAATACAAAAAGTACTTTCTTAGTCTAAATTTATCAGGTAGACTTGGAAATAATACATGAATAACACAGAAACAAATATAACTTATCTTTTTAAATGTTCTTCAAAGGCAAAGTGAGGTCAATGTGAGAGGTAATATACATTTAGTTAAAAGTCTGCATGGTAATATTGATAAATGGGGGATAGATAGATAGATACTAGAACAATTATTTTGTTGATCTTAATCGTACCATTTTTCTTGCAACAAAGCTTCATTTATCAGTTTATGGATCCTCTAAATTGTTGTACTCAGGTGACCGTAAGGGCCCTCGGGCCTCTTGTTCTTTAATGATTTAATTAAATGATCGCTGATTATAACGTATGCCAGTTTGAAGTTAGCTTTCGAATATTATTAAACAATGTACAATGTATAAGAAGGGGTAGCAAAATGAACTTGCATGACTTGTATGAAAACTATTAATGTGTCAGATCTTTTAGGCATCTTTTAGGCATGTTTCATAGTTTTCGTAATTTTATTTTTTCCTATTGAAATAAAATATATATATTGTATTCTGATGAAAAAATAAACATATTACTAATAAGTTTTCCGATTTGAAAAGAGCTAATATGAGAAAATATGTCGAACAATTTTGATACTATTAACCGATTAATCCGTCGTAGCGTCTTTCAGTTAACCGATTCGCAATTTCGTATTCGATTGCCATCCCTAATATATTACTCCATTTACCTTGTCATTTCTTTTTACTGCAGCAGCTGAACACTTAGTCTGGGCAACGTCCTATTTCTCTTTCTCTCTCCTTCAAAGTAATTTTTGAACAGAGAGGTATATAGAGGGTCGACTATAAATTTGACACCTTCATTTCACCGAAACGACTGAGTAAAATACCTGATACGTAGTTCATGAGTCATGTTTTTTAGTGTAATGATTTCCTAATGTCTTTGTAATCAGATAGTAGGTATGTTTTTGGATTAGCTTATCAGTTGACATAGATTATAAATTCTAAGTGCATTTAAAAGCAATACACTTTTTACTGTATTATTTACATTAAACATCATACACCAAAATTTAAGCAATTTTTACTTAAAGCTAACTTAGTGTTTACATCCCAAACTCTTTTTTCCACTTCATGTCTCGCTAGACCTCAGCCATTGTTCTTCCCTGTTGGTACAATGTTGATTCCATCAGGCATTGACCACCTTATATATAACACTCAGCTTAAACCATAGCACCTCTCATTCACAATATCTGTTATCCTCAGAGGTATCTTAAAATGACAGACAATAGACCCCTCAACCAAAAGTCCCAGTTCCACAGTTCTTCTGCCATTCCTCAAATTTATCTCTGTCATGTTGTCCTCGTTCTCATCCACATCTTCATCACTGATGAAAATGACGTACATGTACATGCTGGTGGTTCTTCCACATTGCTTATCATTTCTTTTTGGAATCTACCCGTTTAAAATGACCACGCTCGCTTCACGTTTACCTCAGTAATACTTGACTGATTTCACAGTCTAGAGAGTTCTAAACGATAGACCACTATCATCTAGGGGCAGATTACACTAAATGGTCGTTTCTTTTTTTTCCTCCGGATAACCATGACTTTGTAATGTCCTTAAAACCTAGCAAGTCAAAATCAGATGTAGCAACTTGTTTGAATCTAAATGCTGACTTAAGCAAGAATGTCCCTTGACCAAGCAGAGCTAACATGGCTGCAGCTATAATCGACTCGTTTTTCTTATTAACATCGGGTTCGATGCTATATGATATTCTAGAAGCTTCCATCAATATTAAGATCGGTGAATGACAAAAATAATTTGCACATTTTCCTTTTTAATCGGTTATCACAACTTATTTCTTTTATATCATTTAAATCAAGTTCTGACTGAATAATTCAGTGATGACGTTTTCTGAAATAAATAAACGATTGCTTGTTGTCTGTTTCATTAAAAATTGCCAGTAACTTAGATCCGCCAACCGGAAACGTCTCCGTTCCCACGTTTTTGCTATTTCATGGCTGTTTATAGAAAATGAAAGTTGACGTTTAATTTAATGTACGATACTTACCTTACTATGCCAGTGAAATCTGAATATAGTTAACGGACATCATCTTGTATCTAGTGTATTCTTAGAGGAGTAAGTAAGAACTCAGGTGCACCCGTTTCGGAGTTTATTTGCAAAATTTATTATTTATAAGTATAGATATTTATGAAAAACTGTTTCACATTCTGCCCAATCACCACAGGAACTCAATCATCTCCTATTGTGGGTGGCTCTGCATTAGAAATGCCTTGTCTGCTCCAATTGTTGATTTTGTAATTTCCAAGACTAATAGCAGCGGTGGGCAGCATCTATTGATGTTCCCCAATTTCTTCTTAATACAGTTTAGGTGAATCTTAA